ATTGACAAATGTCTAGTCCAAGCCAACAGCAGGTTGTTTGTGTCTATGTTGCTTTCTTTGTATCCTTACGAGTTTTGTTGTGCCGGAGTACAAACTATAAATTAGAATTCATCATTCTAGTATATGGAGGCATTTAACCTTTGCTCCTGAAGCTTTTTTGTGAATAAAAAACTATATTGCTGCAGTAGATTTGTTATTTGATTCATGAGCATGCATGACATTTGACTATTGTTCTACTAGCTACTTACTTGTCCTGTTAATCCATTATATTTTTTGTTGCACAAAGTGGTAGAAGATAATTCCGATGCAGAACTACCTCCATCCTGACCCTTGCTTTGTTTTCTCTAAACCAGAAATGACATGTGTAGAAATAGAATAACCAAGGATATAAAGAAGCTTTTGGATATAGGCAAGCTTGGAGCTGCTGTTTCAATGTCATGCTTTAATGGTTGTCTTTTGGAGCTGTTGTTTCTATCTGTAATCCTTTTAAGTCTGTTGGCTGTACCGGACTATTTAAAGTCTGAACTACGCTGTGATGGTTGAACTGATGCTGGACTGTTAAGGGTTATGTTGGAGGCAACTTTATAACTAATGTGTGCCTGTTATGTTGGACAGATGCAGTTTTATTAATCCCTAGAGCTTATTTGCTGAAGTTTATATGATCAATCCTGATGGTTGTTGTGCTGCTATGATTAGGCTTTGTTTTATTTCGAATTTTGTTCGAATTTCGGCCAAATTTCGGTCGAATTTTGGTCAATTTTTCAAATTTTGATTTTGCAATTTCGCCCGAGAATTTGCCGAAAAATTTAAAATTCCCGAAATTCGTCCATTTCGGCCAAGGACGAAAAAAAACACAAACCGAAATTCAAAACACACCTCGCCTCGGCTCATCTCACCGCGGCAAGGATGCGACATATACGCAGTTTGCCATGTCCATCTCGGCCGCCATGGACAGCAGCAATGGGAGCAAGGCCAACCTCGCTCGGTGACGAACGCCTCCAGGCAGCGGAACCATAAAAGCCACGGATGATCGTCCGGGGCGTCCGGAGGCAAGAACGTTGAAGCCCCGCTGTGCCTCCACCCAACCTCTCGCAACGGCTGTGACCTCCCAATGGCTGTCCACCTCCATGGGGCGAGCCGGATAGGTTAGCCAGCAGTGAAAATTGGCCACCTCCCGCCGCGCGCATAGTCTGTTGCCGGCCAAGTGCGGCCCTATCTGGAACGAAGGCAAAAAAAGAAAAATCGTAAGAGGATAGAAAGGCATCAGGAAGAGCCGAGTAAGGCCAGTAGCGCAGACGGCTGGCTTGCGAATTTTTTGGATGGTGAACACCTTACTTCGGTCGTGACCTCCATGAGCACCTTCCGTGTGCCGTCTCTCCTGTGTGCACCACCACCTCGGACGCACGGAAGGAGACGATCGAGGGTTCTGGCAGGCACTGGCCGTCGGCGAGGTAGGGCGTAGACGGGATTTGGGAGACGCTGGGAAGCAGCTGTGAGGTAGGATGTCGAAGGGGAAGCCCTTTTATAGGGCTATACATACCGGCAGTATAGCGGTAGCACGCGGCAGATGGTGGAAGGGCAGCGAAGTACTCAGCGACGGGTGTTGCTCGCCAGAATCGACGGGAGCCTTCCAGGACCGACGAAGCCAAAATATCTCTATCTAGGAAGAGGACAAAATAGTAAACAAAGCTCACCGGAAAAGCCCAGAAAGATGGCTGCTACATATAAAATCTAAACGTGTCGATGAAAGAACTCACGAGTCAACGTACGTGTAACTCAGCCCAAATCTACCTAAAGCAACAACCGCCACGTCTCCCTAAAACAAAACATCCGCCACGTCAAAATGGCACGTGCAAAACGGCCAACCAGATGAATAAAGAAAACACGTCCTGGAATTGATCCACACACGCGTCGCAGGAAAAAAAGGGAGTAACCACCACGCGGAAGTCGCTCCCTGCATGTTCCCCGGTAACAAGTGTCAATTTTTGGAGGCCGTAAAAAAAATTCCGGAAAAACCAGGTAAATGAATCCCTTACGGGCCTAGTATTCTCAATACTGAATCATCATTGTTTCTAATACAAACTAACTAACCCAGCTGTCAAAAAAAAAACTAACCAACCCTGTTTACAGGAAATACATATGATTGTGGAGATAGATGGCAGCTAGAGTATTAGTGCTTATAGCCCGACTCCACTTAGCATAACGGGAGCAGCTCTGCAGCTAGTGCATTTCAACGGGAACAACAAAACTGAACTTGGAGCTGAAAAATCAAGAAAAAAGAACTGATTCCTTTTGCACATTTACAACATTTTAAGGTGTCTAGTCGTGCCTAACTCAGCCAGATCCTGGACAAGGTGGTGCAATTTGAGGACCCTAAATCAGTAAATCTTACAAGCCACAATAAGATACACAAGAATTGCTTAACTTGACCAAAAGAAAAATATTGAATCATCATTGCAACTTTGCATGGAATGGAAAGAGGGGAGCCTGTACTTTTTGACCGAGAAGCAAGTGAAAACTACGAGGAACGGCGGACGAAAATAGTAAGTTGTAATTTTTCTTGCATTATGGTGTGGTATTTCAGTTAAATTGCATCATCTCACGGATAGTAAAAAAAAAGAAAAGGAACTATTTCTGATCAGGCCGCTCCGGTGATGAAGGTGAACACACCCCTGCAGCAGCATGCCAGCACAGTGTATACCACTATACCAGAGCTATGTTCGAGAAGTTTGGTGAGGTCATGTATGAAGGTGGACTAGTGGAAGAAGTTGAGAAAGGTGTAAAATACTTGGTACATAGGTATCATCCAGAAAGACATGACAAATGGTGCCGGGTTGTGTATGCTATTGCTGTCATGGATAAAGGTGCAGAGGTGTCGTGTGAGTGTGGTAATTTTGAACATATGGGGCTTCTGTGCTGTCATGTTCTCAAGGTACACTCTGACTACAAACGCACATATATCAGCATTAGAAACAGATTGTTTTAACAGAATTTGTCTAATTTATGGACAGGTACTTCACCTTCATGGGTTTCACTGAGATCCCTGCAAAGCATATAATGAAGAGGTGGTGGAGAAAGGATGTGCTGCCAGAACATCTAACACATCTGCAGAGGGACCAAATATCAGTGAATTCCATAATTTTTCGACACTCAGACCTGTACAAGCACGCTATGGAAGTTGTAAGGCTTGGCGATGCCAACACATCAGCATATGAAAAAGCCAAGAAAATGTGTTGAAGTCAGCTATGCAAGAGCTAACACCTATAGCTGTTGTACAAGATGGGATGGGCCTAGAAGACAAGGTAAAAGAAGCAAGGCAGTGCAGAAAGAACGAACTCTTTTGAAAGGGCCTGGCTGTGAGTATGGAAGCGACATAGAGGGGAGTGGTGTCGGCAATTTGTTAGGTCTAACGGCTCCTGAGCGCAAGCGCAAACCTGGACGGCCCACCAACAGCAGAGATAAACCTCCCTATGATGATTGAGGAGCAAAGTACAAGATGCATAAAACTATTGCGAAGACAAATGCTGACAGGGGCTGCGGGACAAGTAAGCGAACACGCTTTTGCAGCATATGCCGAGAACCACGGCACGAGCACAACTTGTCCGCAACGCGGAGACATTCCTCCGAAGCAGAGAAAGGAAGCTAAGTGTACAAGAGAAAACTGGGATGTGATGTTTCTCAGCCTAAGCTCAAGTGAGCTCGGGTGAAACAGTAAATTCAGAAGAAAAAAATCACAAAATTCTGAATATTTTTGTAGCAAACATTTACAAATGGATGCTTGCAAAATTTCGTCATGAAACATTTTTTATGGATGCTAGAGGATTACTGCTTATAACCTGACTCTACTTAGCATAGCAGAAAAGCTCTGCAGCTAGTGCATTTCAACAGGAACACACACTCTTTATTTCTAGTACTGCAAAACTGAACTTGGTGCTGAAAAATCAAGAAAAAATAACTGATTTCTTTTGCACATTTACAACATTTTAAGGTGTCTCTAGTCGTGCCTAACTTAACCAGATCCTGGACAAGGTGGTGCAATTCGAGGATCCTAAACCTTACAAGCTACAATAAGGTACACAAGAATGGCTTAACTTGACCGAAAGAAAAATATTGAATCATCATTGCAACTTTGCATGGAATGGAAAGAGGGAAGCCTGTACTTTTACACAGTAACTGTAAATGCATGAATTTGCTGTCTGCAGAATACAGGAAAGAAAGTTCAGATCTGTACCCACAGTTCCAGACCAAACGCGTAAGTGCATGAGTAACTGAATACTCCTTGGTGGATTTGAGTCAAGGACTGAGATTTATTCGAAACCTGATTTGCAGTAGGCATCCAAAGCATTCAATGAAAAGAAAAACAGTAGGCGTCCAAAGAAATTGCAAGCCTGGTGAATATCAGTCAATATGGCTACTTGATAACAAAGTTATTGCTAAATAATGGGAAAATAAGCACATAGCAAAGCACTAACATAACAGAGGCAAACATATGCATAGTTCTGCGTGCATTTAGGATAAATTTAGTAATATGCCAGGAAAAAAAATCCTAATTAGAAAATGTAAAAGATGTCAAATACTATCATTGGCAAATGAGCATCGTGAATTAAATAATTGTAAACATGGCCATAACTTTAGAATAGTTGTGTGGCAAATAATCCCTCGTGTTAGAGGCAACTCCTGATCAGAGATGCACTGATCCATGTTCTTTCCATAGATGCTTTCCAGTACTAAGATAGCTACCTGATATCCAAGTACTTCCTGATAAATTGATAAAGATTCAGACATGCAAGGAAACACCAAAACAGAAACAAAGTGACAGTGCTATAATACAATTTCCATCTTCTTCGAAAGTTAGGATAGGTAGTCTGATAGTACTAGGAATCTAAGATAACTGCGGATAATAAGTCTTCAAACCAAACCAGGGAGCTAAGCACCATTCCTAGTACAAGAAAACCATTTCAATCCCTGGGACTATATAACTGCTAAAGAAACAACAACCACTAAACGAGGGCGGACATGGCAATCAGATTCTTAATAACTGAGGGGCAGCTCCTGCTCAGATGATCGAAGCCGTCGCTGTCTAACAAAGCCCTAAGATTTGCCGGGAAGCGAAGAAAATTTAAGCATGCCTTCTTTAGGCCCTCACAGTGGTGCTGCTCAGCTAACGTCAGGATGGTCGCTATTGTGGCTGCGTTGATGAACTTGCATAGCTTTTCCTCGCAAATACTCTTCAGCCTCTCCATGTTATACCTGTCCGCCGCAACAAGCAGATGCTGGTACATGACATCTTCATCTTCCTTTTCTGTCACCGGTAAGGAGTCGGTATACGCAAAACAGAGCAACGCCTTGAACACCTCTGCCTCCATTTCATCTCTGTGCACCACACCTGCGGCATCGCCCTCCTTCATGCCACCAAAGAGCTCAGCACTGAAGACTGGCGATCGGGCAGCGGTGTGCTGCGAACGTGTGACCACCAACCTCGAAGACTACGTCGGCACCCTTCTCAGTGTTGAGGAGATCTCCGAGGTGCTGGTGCAGGTCAGATGGGGCCACAGTGACAAATGCTGGAGGAGTCTCTTCGAGCAAATCCTCTGCGCGGTAGTCGCCTATGACAATGATATCGCACCTGATGGTGAAGGAATCGTCCTTGAGATGCTCTGACTTCTCCAGGTCTGCCCTCTTGATGAATGTCGCGACTCCCCAGCCCTGCTGAGAACTGTAGCTGTTTACTGTTGATATCAGCGAAGGAGCTTGGTTCGTTTCCTCATCCGCAAAACTGAATTTTTGTTGCGCCTTCACCGCCGTGGCAACACTGGCATCAAGATTAAGGAACACAGATATGTATTCTGCGTACTCTGGTTTCTGGCCGTTGGGATAGTACTCAATGTGCCATCGATGTCCCCCAAGGGTGAAAGGGCGGGACTTTATCCTCTCTCCGGTGGGGACGCCCTTGGTGCGGGAGTAGCCATCGACCTTGAGAAGGTGGTACCCGCTCACCGTGGAGGCAACGATGGCGGAGGCAGATCGGGACGGCTTGCCGGCGGCGGCCGACATGGTAGACCTACTCCGGGAAATGTGGAGTTGATAACCCTCCTCCGCCTTGCTTGGAAAAACTCTCCTCCGCCCTCGCCAGCACGGATTGATGGGTGATTGCTGCGGAAGTGTTGCTGATCTGCTAGGGTTTAGGGCACAATGGGGGCGGATGGAGGAGGAGCAAGAAGGGGGAACGAAATAAGGAGATGAAACAGAGGTGATTTTTCGAGAGTATAGAAAAAGAGCTTTTTTTTTGAGTAAATATAGAAAAAGAGCTACAGCCCAAAGTACCAGTGACTCCCACCAAACCCACAGTTCCTATTTGTACCCGGCCCAGCAAGAACAAAAGCTCGAACTTATCAGATTTGTTTTTTTTACCCCTAAAAAAATTGATTTTGTTTCCCCCCTTTTTTGTTAATTTATTTTCAAATTCATTTTATCCACTTTTCCTTTTGTTTCTTTTTCATGGCTCTTCATTTTTTGGGGGTTTCGAAATTCCTTTTTGTCTTCTCTACTTCTATTTCTGTTTTTTCTTGTTCTGATTTGTTCTTGGTTTTCATGCCTTTGTCATTAGAGTCTCTCTCGAGCGGTGAGAACGTTGCACCTTACACGAGAGTGGTGCTTTCGTAGGAGTGTATTCATACAGCTCTCGCTTTTATAAAATATGTTCGTGCAACATACTTTATTATTCACCCTAAAAACATATTGTATTATTCACACTAGCTCATTATAAATTTTTATTTTAATAGTGCCTTTTTTGTTTAAAAAGAGAAGAAGAATGCATGTACTTGTGAATAAGGTGCACATTTCTAAGCACATATTTTTTTTCCATGGCAACATTTTTTCATGATTTGTATAACGATTCTAATACCTTAGAGTCAAAAGAATCGAAGTTCTGTGTTTGTCCCAAAGTCAAACATGTTTCAATTTGACCAAGCCTATAGAAAAATACATTAACACCCCAAACACCAATTTATTCTCATGATATTCTTTATGATTTTTTGGTACTATGTGTATTTGGTGTTGTAGAACTTAGCAACATTTTCTACCGGTGTTGGCATGGAATTTCGCCAAAGTAAAATATGGTGCAATAGCTATTATAAAAATATAAATTAATCCGAACGGTAAAAATGATGAATCGCCAAATGGGACTTTGGCCGCTTACTAGAAAATAGCAGGCGCGGAAATAAAAGGAATGAGCCAAATATCAATACATAATTGGTGAGCACTTACATTGGCTTAGAATATGAAAATATCGGGTATTCACAAAGTTGGTAAAATGAATAAATAAAATCTCCATAAAAGGCTTTTTCCTGATAAAATAATAACCATGAGACGCAAGATTATAGACGGCGCTAATATCTTCAAATATTAGACCGCATGAAATGTCAACATAGAATCATCGCGGGCGACGCTTATTTGGCAAATATTGAACCATGCAATATACATGGGCATTATTTCATCACCGCTAATAAAATATCGCGGCGACATAGAAAAAGATACGTACGTCATTCCGAATGAAATACAGGTATGAGGGATATAACGCCACATAAAAAAATTACATTTTTCATGTATTTATATACGGCATGTCACACTAAGAAAATAATCCTCAACGTGACATTAATAGTTAATTAAGCCTAGCCCATTAAAATATGTTGGATGACGCCAAGGCCCATAGGTTAATTAGTAAAGAAGGAGTTTAGCCCACATAAGCTAACCACGTACGTAACTTGCCAGCCAAACCACACAGTTCGGTAAATTAGTGATTAAACAAATAAATAAGGAAGGAGACAGCCCCACGCTCACACGATCTCAGCCAACGAACTGGAGAACGTGGGCGCGTCCCTCGGTTGATTTCCTCTGTTGCTCCCTCCTGTATGGTTGGGGTCGCCATTGCGGGTCGCTTGAAAGGAAGCTATGCACATTTTATTACCATGTTAAAAAATTTCAAAAATATTCTCACATCACATGAACATCACAACCATCTTAAAAAGAAAAAAAAGCCTAAAAAACTTTTTTTTTTAAAAGTCTCCCTACCATTTAAAAACTCTAAAAAAAATCTCGCCATGACCAACTAGCATGCAGGGACGAAACTCTAGTATGGCCGCTGGGGTCAATTGACCCCAATGCCTTCGAGTATTTGAAGCTAACTAGGTCCATCCAAACTGCGTTTGACCCCAGCCCAAAATATGTGTTGACCCCAGCCCAGTAGCTAATGTCCAATTATTCATAGTCTCAGCCCATAACATCCGTAAATTCTAGTAAAAGATATAAAAGAATGTGGTGTACAGCTCCACACAGCGTTAGCACACAAGGCCCAATGCATAATACACGTACACGTTTGACGTTTCGTGAACAGCCCAGATCGCCTCTTCATCTCTTCCGCCATCGTCTGGTCACCTCTCCGTCTCATCGCCTTCCCCTAATCTTTTCCTTACCTCAACTCTCAATCCCTAATCCCCAATTTGCATCGGCGACGAACAGCGGCGATCCCTAATCTCCAAGGGTGATGCCGGCCGGCCGACGGCGCCGTATAATCCTTAATCTCCCGAGTGTTGGGTGCCCACTTGGCACTTGCCCTCCTCGTAGGCTGTTCTCACGCAGGTACACCAATCTCTTTCTCAGTTTCTCTTGGTCTCACGCACTAACAACTATGTCTCTTACTCTCTCCGGATGGCTAATTACTAAATTTGCGTTTATGTTTTTTTGCTGCATCTAGGAGGCTAGGGCTAGAAGGATATGGACAGATTTCTGCTGAAACGAACGGCACCAGAGACTGATCTGGCAGGGACTTCAAGGCCAGTTAGACTAAGGCAAGATCATGCATCAAATATTGGTACTACTACCACAGCAGATATTAATTTGGATGAACTTCCTTTTGATCCGGCCAATCGAAAAAGAATATCACAATACACTAAGAATCCAAAGAAGCAAGTTGAGATCAGAAGAATATATTTAACTAGAGGACCTTATAGGCCAAAAGAAGGCTTTGTATATCCGCAGAAGACCATCGGAGGATTCGAAAGAAGATTCAAGCTAGAATGATTTAAAGATTATCATTGGCTAGAGTAGAGTGATAAAGTGCACAAGGCATCTTGCCAATGTTGCTATTTGTTCAGAGATTGCATCGACGGTCAAGGTGGGAATGATGCATTTTTTGTCAATGGTTTCTCTAGTTGGAATAAGAAATACAGATTGGATACTCATGTGGGTGAGGTTAATAGCTATCACAATGTAGCTGCTAAAAGGTGTGATGCCTTGATGAATCAAGATCAGTCCATTAAAGTTGCCCTCAACAAGCAAACTGATATCACAAAAAGGCAAAATCGTATTCGGTTGAATACTTTCGTCGAATTTGTTAGATACTTATTACATTAAGGTTTAGCTTTCTGTGGCAATGATGAATCAGAGGAATCCAAAAATAAGGGGAATTTTCGAGAGTTGGTACAAACATTAGCAAATCAGAATGAGGATGTGAGGAATGTAGTTCTCAAGAATGCTCCAAAAAATTGCAAATGGGTGTCTCCAGATATTCAAAAGGAACTTGCAAATTATTTTGCAAAGGTAAATTACTACTTTCTGGCATCTCTATTCTTTATTTATTTCATATGATTTATCTCTCCGAGCACCTAAAAATATATTTTATCTGGTTTGTTACAGATAACATTGAATTCTATTCTTGAAGAAATTGGTGGTGATGTTTTCAGTTTGTTGATTGATGAGGCGTCCGATGTGTCAGACAAAGAACAAATGGCTGTTGTGTTGAGGTATGTTGATAAGCTTGGGTTAATCCTAGAACGACTAGTTGGGGTAGTACATGTGAAGGAAACATCGGCAACGTGTCTCAAGTCAGCCCGTGAGAAATTGCTTGTTCATATTGGATTAAGCTTCAAACAAGTTAGAGGGCAATGCTATGACGGGGCGAGCAATATGAGGGGTGAGTTCTATGGTTTGAAAGCTAAAATTCTAGAAGAGAATAAGTCAGCATATTACGTGCATTGTTTTTCTCACCAACTCCAATTGGTTATCGTAGCAATTTCAAAGAAGAATGAAGATATTCCAGATTTCTTTTACATGATTTCTCTTCTGTTTAATGTGGTTGGAGCTTCTTGCAAAAGAAAAGACATGATCAGAGAGACTAATAGAGAGAATGTGAAAAAAGCCATAAGTAGTGGGCGGATTAGTACTGGCACAGGGTTGAATCAAGATCAATCACTTCAAAGGGTGGGAGACACCCGTTGGGGTTCTCACTATAGAACCCTCTCAAGCCTAATTCAGTTGTTCCCATCAATTGTCAGTGTCCTCAAGTATGTATCAAAAGAAGGCAAGAAAGATTCGAAGAAAAGTGAAGCACGTGGTCTTCTATCATATTTTGGAACCTTTGATTTTGTGTTCTATTTGCACATGATGTTCCATATATTAGGGAGTGCCAACACTCTGTCACAAGCATTGCAACAAAAGGATCAAGATATCTTGAATGCAATGTCATGTGTGAAGTCAACAAGGAATGATCTACAACAACTAAGAGATAATGGGTGGGAATCACTTTGGGAGAAGGTATATGCATTCTGTGAAGAACATGACATTCCAAAGCTAAGCATGCAAGATGAATATGTCAATCGACATAATACACGAAAAAGAACCAATATAACAAACCTGCATCATTATCAAATAGAGTGTCTTGACACTGTTATTGATTGGCAACTTCGACAGTTTGATGACAGATTCAATGAAGTAAATTCTGCATTGCTTATTCACATGGCTTCTTTCAACCCAAAAAACTCTTTCGCTGCTTTTAACTTGGAGAGTTTGTTGAAGCTAGCTGAGTTTTATCCTGAGGATTTCGATTCATCAAAATTGATGGATCTTGGACATGAACTTCGGATTTACATTGACAATGTCCGAGCAGACCAAAGATTTGCCAATTTGGATGGCATTGTGGATCTTGCTAAAAAGTTGGTGGATACTAAGAAGCATCTTGCTTTCCCTTTGGTGTATCAACTTCTAAAGCTAGTGCTAAT